ATTCTAACATAATTTTTTAATTCTAATATATTTTTTAATTCTAATATCATTTTCTAATAGTTTCTAATATAATTATTTAGAATTTTTTCTAATTCTAATATAATTTTCTAATAATTTCTTTTCCTCAGTAGTAAAATTTTACTTCCATTCATTAATTAGAAAATAACTACTTTATTTTTAATTGTAACTGCGAAACTGACATCACTCACACATGGAAAACCTAACTATTATGTGACCATGCTCAAGAAATAAGTTTTTCTGCAGAGACAGCTTAGGCTGTTTATCTTATGAAGATTATTTCCATAGTAGGAATTYTATCTTTTGAAAAGCACATGGACAGTAGCTTAATATGGACAGAAACAGAGTCAGTGCATTTTCCGATGGTGCTTAAAACAATCTAATAGATTATTTAAGGCCAAATAATGATTTCAATTTAATCTGTAACAGTAATAATATCTTTCCACAGTATAYAAGCTAAGGGAGTGAGTTGTGTGTTTATAGATATGTGTATTTAACCTTTTTTTAAAACACAGTMCAAAGGGGGTTATAAGTATAGTCCAGAAGGAAAGGTTACACTGGTGGTTCTGGCATACAGCTCAACAGATGTGCACTGTGCATACTTGAACAAAGGGAAAACAGCTGAGCTGGCTGAAAAAACAGAATCACATGAGGAGGGTGTTGAGGTGAGAGATGGCTTCAGGAAAAAGAGCAGTTCAAGAAATAAGGCTGAATTCCCAGACCAATTTATTTTTCATGGTTACATTTCTAAAAATTATGTTTATGAATGATATTTATTTATGAAGGTTATAAACAATATGCTGATATTACTAAGATTGGGATTGGGAACAAAATTAAATAAAACATACAGAGAGGTGCAAATCTCTACACAGATTTCAATATTTGAGTAGTTGAAGCAAAGAGGTTACATATAAAGAAACAACTGTCAAAATAGGAGAAAAGAGACAATGACAGTCTGAAACAATGTGACAATCAGGATACTAAGTACAGATTGGTGAGGCCACCCCTCAAATCCTGGATTCAGCTTTTGATCTCTCATTCCAAAAAGGATATTGAGGTGCTGGAGGGTGCCCAAGACTAGSGCAGTGCAGCTGGTGAAGGGTCTGGAGCACAGGTAACTACAGGAGCAGCTCAGGGAGCTGGGGTTGCTTAGCCTGGAGTAAGATGACCTGAGAACTTACCGCTCTCTACAGCTGCCTGAAAGCTGTAGCCAGGTGAGCATCAATCAAACAGACAAGAGGAAATGGCCTGAAGTTGGCCAAGGGAGGTTTAGATTGGTTACAAGGAAAACTACTTTGCAGAAAGGATGGTCAAGCACTGGAAGAGGCTGCCCAGAGAAATGACAGAATTAGCACCCCTGGTAGTGCTCAAAAACCACACAGATGTGGCAGTTAGGGTCATGGTTTAGTGGTGGACTTCACAGTGATGGGTTAGCAGTTGGACTTGATGGTCTTAAGGGTCTTTTGCAATCTAAATGATTCTATGATAAAAAAATACGTCAGATCAAATAGCCCCACTATAGATAATTTTGTATAGTCAGCAATACAGTGATCACTCATTTCCTTCATATACAATTTTAAAAATTAATTCACTACAYAGTAGTGTTCTGCAGSGAAGAACTAAATAAACTGCAGTATYTTTTATCCCATTTAAAATGTTGCATACTTGCAAAATAAATAGTATGCAAACACAAACCAGTATTTGTAGGCTTTCARTTTTCGAACACTGCAATCTTTTAGAATCAAAATATACTTGAAGATAGTACACCAACTTTTTAATGTGACCAAGAAAAAGTAAAACAGAATGGATGGTTTTCTTTTTTGAGATCCGAGGGAAGTTATTGTCATATAATGAAAATGAATAATGAGTTGAGAAATTGACATTTTTACTTTTAAGAATACCACCGGGAATGGTATTTGCTCCTCTGAAAAACAGTGATTTCTTTTCTTTTTGACAACAAATAAACCTTAATCAGACTAGTTGTTGTGCACTGAGAGCCACCTACAAATGTTCTGAAAAATTGCATGGAGTCAGCAGTGTAATATATAATTATATCTAATACCTACTTGTAGACCTGTAGTTCAATCTTCAGTGTTGCTATCACAAACACTTAGCAYTCCTACCTTTAACACATTTTCAAACTTAGGATAAACTGCCAYGCAACCCCTTACAGCGGTTGTGGGGAGGTGAAGGAGGTCTGGCATGCTAATTTTTCAGAAGTTCATGCAGGGTCAACTAATCCAAACATTAATTATCCCTTCTTTTTTTCATGGTACAAGCAACTTTAGTGCAAAGTTCCTTATCTTTTTTTTCCGCTTACATAATGATAGAGTTAAAGTGCATTACTACAGACAGTTTCTATCTTTGGCATTTATTAATTTATTAAAAGMTTAAATTACATGTCAGTTGCAACACCAGTTTTGGTGACCTGAACACCTCTCCAGGAACTTAAATGAGACTACAAATTCATTCTGCACTGTTCATTTAAAACATTATCATTTGCTTCCCTTTGCTACCGTTTATCACTGATAGCACTAAGCTCTTATTAATTTCTTAGTGTGTCGAGTAATATAGCCCTCTTACAGTAAACATACTTTTAGGACAAAAATCTAAAAATTATTCAATGTTATTACTTTCTTGAACAGAAAACCATTATTATTACTATCTCTGCATGCTGATACTTGTATTTTTCTACAGCAACATCACTCAATTTGTACTTATATTAAAATAATTTTAAAAGTGCATACTTTTGAAATCTCCATCCCCAAAAGTCAATGGATAGGCTCCTGGCTTTTCAATCTTGTACATTTCCTCTATAAAAAGGATTTTACAATCATTTATTGTGTCTTCTGGACCTCTGAAAAACAAAAAGAATAAAGAGTATATTCAACTTAGTTCCTCAGACCTAGATTCTGTACTTTCTGAACCCTAAGCAGTAAGATAAAGTAGCCTTCTTTTAAAATCACTTATAGCATACTTTATTTCAATTCACAGTCTAGTACTGGAACTCCTCAGATAAAATAAAACACAYAGCTGGGACTCACTTAAAGAAACGACTACTCCATTATCCTCAGACTGTCAGGTTGTTTAGTATTAGTAGTCTTTACTGACAGTTATTCACTATGGCTTAATTCCACTTCTAAAACCTCATAATTTTTTTTTTTTTTGGTTGAACATAGCAGACCAGACAAAACCATATCCTCTGGAATAAAGCATCTCAAACACTCACAGAAGTATAGTATCACAAACAAACCAGACATGTGACCTATAAGACAGAATACTTGGAACCCATAGAGCAAGAAGAGCAACAGAAACTTCTAAAGGCCTTCTACAACCTTTAACTGTTTCTGAGCTCTGGAAAGTCACATACAATATTGTACTGAGTTATGTACTGTAAGTCGTCCTGCTAATGTCAGGTTTCAGTGCTAAATCTCAGTGATTAGCAGTAACAAAAACTCCAGGACTCCACAACAATAATGCCAAAAACTTCTAGAAAAGAATTAGAAAATATTAAATGTAAAGGTTTTCACTTATTTTTATCAAAACATCTTKGTATCGACACAGATTCTAATACAAATGCAAACATATCTAGGARTAAATATCCATAATGACACCAACACCTGTAAAGCATTCCCTTTTCCTTTCTCCTTAGGATGATATTATGCCCTCTTCAACTGCCTGTTCTCTTACACTTTTAATTTCCTACCTAATATAGAGGCAAGGAAGAATTTTCAGTACAATAAAACAATGATGGATATCATTAAGAACCAAGCACAAAGGTAACAAAATACTTTGGAAGACAGCCAGCCAGGTGGCAGATCCTTATAAAAGGTCTAGTCTGCAAAAAGAAATTAAACTATAGACAGACAGGAAAACAAGTTATTACATTCGTATTCAATAAGAATAAACTGCAACAACAGGATACCTCCAGAAACATCATGATTCAATTTGAAATCTGTGGTTCTCTGCTTTACCTCTTTACTTGCTCCCATCACTTYCTTTGTGCTGACTCCTAAATCTTGAACTCTGACACATGATGACCAAACCAAGGCAGAAACAAAAACTATACCAGAGAAAAAAACACAGGCAACAAACCACCTTTTGGTGGCTCTGAGMACTGCAGTATTTAGGTCTCCATGGAACTGGGGTTGGTCAATCAATCATTGATTTATACTAATTGCCTTTTAAGTGTACCAACAGTTGTTTATTTAGGCAYCTCTATTTGTTTTGACACTTCTCTTTCCCACAAGATTTTGGAGGAAAAATCCCCATTATTGGTCGCATGCATAAATAGCAAAGGCTACTTGAACAGAATATACAAAYGTTGCATCAATATGAATACATCCATCAGATACAGAACTGTTTGCTTTCTTGAGCAGGAAAACCATGTATTTAGAATAAACATCATTTGCACCATAAGGGGATAATACTTTGAGGCAGTTTTGGCCATTGTGAGTAACTCAGACTTAGCATGCAAAGACACTTTGAATTATCCATAATACTCAGCAATTCACAATTATAAAGGCATAATACATTCAAAYATAGAAAAGACAAGTCACAAACATAATTTTTGGCAGGAAATTGAAATCAACAATTACAGACTTAGCTCCTCACAGCACCAATATTTCCCACATGATTTTCTGTACTTTGGAAGCATTTTTTAAACTGTCCTGCATTTTTTGTTATTCTTAGATTAAATAAAGTTAAAAACAAAACAAAACACAACTCTTGACACTCTTCACCATCATAAATCTATGTTAGAACCTTTATTTTTTATGACACTGCTTGTTAAATAGTCACTGCTTGACTGCCTATCCAAGGAGATTCCTTTAGGACTTATTTCTAACAGAACTCAAAGTGGTGAATCGAATTTAAAACAACATTACAGAAATGTGACTTTCACGTAATTAATGTGAAATTTTATACTCAATGTAGCAGCTACAAGCATGACTGATATTCTCAAATTCTTATAAAAATTTCAGRCAAATTTAAGCATATTTTCCACTGTTTTTTGCATCCTGCAAATCTTAGATGTGTGTGTAGTCTATAACCATGATCCCTATTATGGGCAAAACTGCATCTAAGAAAAACTCACATTTCCTGCCCCCTCTCTACAATATCTTACAGTTTAGAGCTGTTTAATTTTTTAATTTACCCCTTTTTTCCCCACTGCATTTTCCCCAGAAAACTAAAAAGCAGTTGTTGGAAATTTAGTTTTTTATTATCTGCATCCTCAGCATACAGTCTGTGGTCAAGAAGGAAGGTGGCAAAACACCATACAGCTGTACTCAGAAATCCAGACACTTGTGATACTGCTATCCATATCTTTGGGAAACAAGCCAAACTTGAGCTCAGTAGCATATTAACTAGGGTTAAATTCCACTTGTGCCAATTTGAACTATAGAACTACTTTTAACTACAATTATAATCACGTTATTTCCTTAAAATATACCACGARAAGATTTATACGTTGGTTCAAAGATGTTCCAAATGGTAACACAGCAATTTTTTGTGAAGTATGCAGAACCACAGACTTTTATCATCAACTTTATTACAAAATATCATCTCAAACAATGTTATCTCCACCTCAAAGTGTTGAAGTGCAACAYACTTGCTAAATTTAGCTAGTTTAATAAAATAACTCCTCTAATTGATACTAGAAGAAAAAAAAAAGAACACTTAAAATAATTTAAAAATTAATACAGCTACATGGCATGTTTTTTCCTCACAGTACTGCAATCCTACTGACTAGCAATACTATTCCTATATCTAGGCAGTACTTGTTATATAGATCATGGTAAACATTCCTTCTCTTTTTGTCCTGTATTTTTCCTTTGTGACAAGGACACTTAGAAAACAACGTTCAGATTAAGACTTCCTAAGTGCAAAACCTTACAATTAGTCATGTTTACCACAAACAACTAAGTCATGATCAGTTTCTATGGCTAATGTCAAAAGGTACTGTATAGGTCAGTAAAGAAACAGCCATCATTAGAATAAAACCTAACAGAATATAAAGCTGGCCCTCCAAATACATGAATTCATTTAACAAACAATATATAAAATCAAAACAAGACCAGATTTGCTACCACTTTCAGTGGTAGTATCTTTGCATATGCAACACTCTGTTTACATGCCATGATCAATCAGCCTTTATTGAGCTTTTGTAAAGTTTTCAGGCAGCAGCACTTTCTGTTCTGCATCATCAAACCACAGTTGAATAACTTCTTAAAAACCATGTAATTGTTCAATATTACTATTCAAAATGTTTGTTAGAACTTTTAATATYATCTTCTTAGAAGTGGTGGAGTAGAGATTTGATTTTAAACAGGCTTGTTTCAAAGGTGACTTACAAAATCTTCCCACATTAAGACAGCATGTTACATTGATAACCTGACCAAATTCTGCTACATCATACTGAATTACATGAAGGTTCTTTTATTTTTTTTATTGCACACAAGCAAAAATGCAGATAATATTTACAGTATTTTATTCAGACTATTCCACACACATTTGTTTTATCATTAAAATAAAAATGCAATTACAACATCGGACAGTAGTACCTCTGCTTTTAATTCAACTTTTATTACACAAGCACTGTAAAGATAAAGACACATGGCAACTTCCAAACTATGCAAAGATTTTTTTTACTCTCCTTCTGTAATACTAGTATTTAAACAACTGCAAMAAAAAATTAAAATAACATTTTCTAGGATATGTTTTAGACCATATTTTAATACGAATTTTTAATGCCTTTAAAAACTAAACACACTCCCAAACCTACAAATTCATACTGTGGACCTACACAGAAGTCAGGCAAGGTACTACTTTTTCTAATCTCAGCAGTAGGTGTGATGCTTGATGCATTTACAAAACAATGTATTATAGCCCATGATGCCAGATTCTGAAAGTAGGTCCTTGGACGCAGTGACTGTCCTCTTCTCCTTAGCCTGGGAGCTGTAAGGAAATGAACATTAGACTACCCCGGGAAAGCCTGACAGAACAGCCACAGCAACAACGCCAGAGGCTCACGACCCTGAGCACGGCCCTGCCCCACGCCACGGAACGCAAAGGTGCGGTGCCTCGGAGGGACCCGCCCCGAACCCGGCCCTGTCCATGGTGCTGCAGAAACGTGCCAAGGCCCTACAGAAGGGGACCCCACTGCCACCACCCCAGCTGCTCCCTCCTGAGCTCAGGTCGAGTTTGTGGCTGGCACTATCATAAATGTTCAGTTGGCATCTACAGCTTCCACATCGAAGTTCACACAGAAGTTAACACCTGAACGYCCATGAAGAGCCAAGTGAAACAGCAGGTTGATGACCCACAAAAGTGAAACATCAAAGGCTTCATTTATGAAAAACAAAGATATAGGAGCTGTGCTTGGCATCACAGAYCATGGTCTGAGCTCAGTCCACTCTCTATGTGTTTGCAGACTGAACTGCAATGCAGAGAAACAATGCTAATGGTCTGCTCAAGCCTACTACAAGAGTCTCRGCTACTCAACAAGTTCATTCATGCTGGGAAGAAGGGAAGATACAAACAGGTGATTTTTACAGAATAGGTTAAACACTTCCATCCAGATTTTAAATTCTACTGCAATTCACTAAGTAGATGCATCACATACTCATCATCAGCTCAGACAATTATAGGAATCTGTGAGCATTGCCTGAGAACCTCAATTAAAAAATAAAGACATGAGAAGCACCTTCTTTCACAACAAAAACTCACAGGGATACCGCCAGAATGAAAAGACCTTCCAAAATATATATATATATATATATATATAAAAGGAAGAGTCCTGAAAACACAGAAACATACTAAGCACTCCTGAAATGAAACCCAAAAAGCAAAACCAAA